ACGTTAAATGGCACATTTGTCGAGATTTTAGAGCAACAAATAAATTCGATCTACAAAAAAGCGGAATGTCCCTGTCTTGCGACTTCGACTTTAAAGACGGATATAGTGTCGATAAAGTGTAAAATAGAAGAAGCTTATACACAAAATACGTTTCCAGAGACCAAATTCCGGACGCCTTGTATTATATGGTATTCACTTCTTCTATTTTCCACTGTATCTATGATCCTGCATCGCTTGTCGCATAATTCATATAATTTCCACAACACTTTATTTTGGCTTCTGGGTAACAATATCTATAATTCAAACAAATTTTCGGACAGCTTCTCGTTTTCTTATCTGGTAACTTCAGGAAATACCAAGCTCTGGGTATTACATACTTATACAAATTGTTTAACAATTAAACCAGAAATTGACAAAGTGGCAGCTCTGCTGATTCGAACGGTGGCATATCGTTGTTTTCTATCTCCAGAAGAGTTCCATTTCCGACAGTTTGATCAATTTCGCATCCACCACAATCTCCTCCACATAATCCTGTTATCACGTGACCACCCATAGTCCGGGTTATATTTCCAATGACTGCTGATGCTCCGACGTTTTTTTCACGTCAGAGAGTCTGGAAACTTGCCGATTTCAAATTTTCCCAAAACACAGCCTTTATCTTTAGGGTAACAGTCTTTGGCAGTACCATAACGTTGTCGATTTAGAGAATTATTTGTGAAGAAATGTGCATTAATATTGTTCTTAGAACAACCGTGTATCGTCAGTTTTTTTTTGTCGTTCCCACCCATTTGGTATCTGAGTTATCTAATGTACTCATTGAACAGTCACAACCAAAATACAGAACTTTTTCAATCGTGTTTGGCAAGCGAGAGTATACACTAGATATTGGTCATCAATTTTCAACCAAATTTTGCTTGGAGTCAATGGAACATTATATACAATATATACATAGACTGTTTTAAAGGTATAAAGTAAAATAAACTAATAAAAAAAGGCAAACAATAGTCTTTCAACAGTGAAACATATATATACAAATAGACCGAAACATTTGTCTCTATTCCAGTTTCTGATAGCTATTTTGAAAGTTGTCGACTGATTTGGTCTACTCCAGGCGACAACTGTTAAGATATCTACCAGATGCTGTAATAGCGGCATATGTTTCGAACTAATATATATATAAACAGATAATGGTAATAAAACGTCGGGAATAAAACACACACAGTCAAGTAACCTAATTTCGTGCTAACCTATTTTTAGTGCATTTCCGGAAAGGATTAATAAGTTACATGTGCGACCGCACGTAACTTCCGCATTTGCTTGTTTTGATAAACATGGGTTTTCTGTACAATATCAGCTAGTAGAATGAATCCAGTAGTTTCAAGCAAGTTAAATGTATTAAAGTATACGTTTACAAATACAAAATGGCGGATTTCAGATATTACCAAACGTCACAAGTCTTTATCGGCCAAATTTATTTGTGATTCCTAGCTGTAATCGGAATTCCAAGTGTCACGTGATCAACTAGCGGATCAATTTAGTGAGAGGTAATGGTTCCATAGTAAACTTGCTGTATATTTAAAAGCCCTTGTCATAGCACGAAGTTTACATATAGGCAAATATAATTTTTAATCCGATTCAAAACGAAGATGGAGATTTGTTGATGAAATATTAGATTTTAGAGGAAAATAATTATTAAGATAATCTGGACAAATATCTTTCATAATTAATGAGGAATCTGTGAGTACATTCAACGATTTTGGTAATGAAACTTGAATGTTTTCTTCATCTTTAATGGCCCGAGAGGGAGAGGGGAGTGAGGCCTTGGTATACGCCACTGTTGATGTTCTAGTTGATTACTACAGTAAGTAGATGGTGGAGCTCAAATTGAACTACCTGATGATGTCCTGCTAAATGTGTTCCATACCGAACTAAAATCTTGAGCAGTAGGATATGAATGTAAAGTAAAACTCAATTTTATGGAGCAAATATTCAAATTCAGTTTTAAAATAACAATTTTAATGATTGATAATATAAATATTGCGTTTTGTTTAAGCTTCATCTTGCTCCCCTTCTTCTTCATCAAATTCTCCCTCCTCTTCAGCTGTAGCATCCTGGTACTGTTGATATTCAGATACCAGATCATTCATGTTGGATTCAGCTTCAGTAAATTCCATCTCATCCATACCTTCACCAGTATACCAATGGAGAAAAGCCTTTCTTCTGAACATAGCTGTAAACTGTTCAGAAATTCTCTTAAACAGTTCCTGGATGGCTGTCGTATTACCAATAAATGTTCCAGACATCTTCAGACCTCTTGGTGGAATATCACAAACAGCAGTTTTAACATTGTTGGGAATCCATTCAACAAAGTAGCTGCTGTTCTTATTCTGGACGTTCAACATCTGTTCATCTACCTCCTTCATGGACATACGACCTCTGAACATGGCAGCTACTGTCAGATAACGACCATGACGAGGATCACAGGCAGCCATCATGTTCTTGGCATCGAACATCTGTTGGGTGAGTTCGGGTACAGTGAGGGCTCTGTACTGCTGGGAACCTCGAGAGGTGAGAGGAGCGAATCCTGGCATAAAGAAATGAAGACGTGGGAAAGGTACCATGTTGACTGCCAGCTTTCTGAGATCGGCGTTGAGTTGACCAGGGAATCGGAGACAGGTGGTCACTCCTGACATGGTGGCTGATACCAGGTGGTTGAGGTCACCGTAAGTGGGTGTGGTCAGTTTGAGGGTACGGAAACAGATATCGTATAGAGCCTCATTATCAATACAGTAAGTCTCGTCTGTATTTTCTACCAGTTGATGAACTGAGAGGGTGGCGTTGTAAGGTTCCACAACTGTATCAGATACCTGAAATAATAAGAAATTTGTTATTTAATCTTTGATTTGTGTGGGTTTTTTTTTTCTAGATACTAGTCAAAGGAACGTTTGCTGCCTGCATCATCCTGGAATTGATGGAATATCTACCTGAAGTTTGCAATATTTGCGAAACTGTAAACCATTAATTTAAACACGAGCATTGGAACAGCTGCACACCTAAACAGTAGCTAAGGATCTGTACCTCAGTACGTTCAATATATAATTAAATCATATTACAATTTTGCTCTTGTTTTGATTTCTGATTTTTTCGCCTCCCTTTGGAAAGAATCAGGAAACAAAATTAAAAGAAATTGTTATTTGATTGTTTTTAATAATATTACATGTTATACCATACCTTTGGTGAAGGACAAACAGAGAAAGTGTTCATGATTCTATCTGGATATTCTTCACGGATTTTACTGATGAGGAGGGTTCCCATACCAGAACCAGTTCCACCACCCAGAGAATGGGTCAACTGGAATCCTTGTAGACAATCACAACTTTCAGCTTCTTTACGGACCACATCAAGAACGGAATCTACTAATTCAGCACCTTCTGTATAATGGCCTTTAGCCCAGTTATTACCGGCACCAGATTGTCCAAATACAAAGTTATCTGGTCGGAAGATCTGACCGAAGGGACCTGATCGTACAGAATCCATGGTGCCAGGTTCCAAGTCGACGAGAACAGCTCTGGGTACATATTTACCTCCGGTAGCTTCATTATAATAAACGTTGATTCTCTCCAACTGAAGATCAGAATCACCGTGGTAAGTTCCAGTTGGGTCAATACCATGTTCATCAGAGATCACTTCCCAGAACTGAAAAAAAGAAATATAACTGATAATTCATATATATATACTTGATATTTCTGGTCAGCATAACTATGGTTATTTGACTAAAACTTTGTGATGTTTCAGAAACTTTTCATAAGTCTTTTAAGTCTTATATCATAGGGATAATTCACACTTTACATTAAAATTTAGCCTACACAATTGCACAGTAAGGATGGGTGTATGAAAAACATCATGAACGGTACGATTTCCAACCAGCTTATGCGTGAAGATCTATGGGAACATTGTAGTAGTTACTTACCTTAGCTCCGATCTGGTTACCACATTGACCAGTTTGCATATGAACGATTTCTCTCATGTTGATGGTTGTGAGAACTGACTAGAGTCTAGAAGTGAAGTGTAGTTGAAAGTAGAATGATTTGGTTGAGATTTGACAGTGTTTTATGTCAAACTAGGTTTTCAGTTACCATAAACAACATCTATTTTGTTCATTACTTAAATCATTAAACTGATTTGATAATCCATTATGATCCGATTCGATAATCAAATTAGTTCGATAATCAATATTTAAAGTTAATCTGATTTCAGTAAAATCACTGTCGGGATTATTGAATAACATCTTAACGAAATTAGCAGGTATCTGATAGCGATGTTTATTAAGCTTGTAAAGGCAGACATAATAAATGTTAATAGAATTAGTAGTAATAAGAAAATGATCCGTCACGGGTTGGTGATTAATAAGAAGTTTTAACTCGATTATTTTGGATTTTAATTAGATATCTGATAATTTTTAATAACGTTATAATAATGATATTTAAAATTGATTATCTTATATATAGTTAAAATATACACTAATCTGATATCATATGCTGTTTACTTAATTAATAGCCCTACCCCGCCAATCTGGTAACTACCCACTAGTATCTATAACAGATCTCATGTTCAGGTATAAATTACAGTTAAAATCACAAACTCTACATAGTTTGCGATATCAGCATCCGCTGGAAGCGAACATTAACTTGTCATCTACCAACCAACCAACAAACTCTACATTCAGTGGTAATATCTTGCCTTGGTTAGCTTCAACTCTTCCTGCAAGGTTCCCGTCTCTCAACCTTCGTCAGTTTTAACCTTTGTTTAGTTTCAACTTTTCTTAAGCTTCAACATGGTAAGTGAAATTCTTTCAAATTATTTTTAACTGTTAGGTGGTAAAGTGTTAGTGAGTATATTATATTTTTTCAAATAAATTTAAGTAAGGGAAGAATAAAATGCTAAAAACACAGGAGTTATACCATAGGATACTATTGTGTTTCGTTTTTACTGAAATCTCTAACTAAATGTAGTCTCAGGCTTATTTTTGTCATTGTTAAAGTACTAATCCTACATGACAAAAATAAGGGTGTTTATCAATTGATAATCTGTTAGTTTCGGATTAACACATTTGTTTATGAATAATCCTAAAATAAAAGTGTGGTCGTTTTTCTGCCTCAACGATATATGTGTAATTATATTAAACCGTTTTTGCTCAATATTAATCATCATTTTAACTTCTATATCTTACTATATTTGGTTCTAATACTCTTCTAACTGGAATATTTACCATATATCTTCTTCTTTCCTTTCAGCGTGAGTGTATCTCTATCCACATTGGTCAAGCTGGTATCCAGATGGGCAATGCCTGTTGGGAGTTGTACTGTTTAGAACATGGTATCCAACCTGATGGTCAGATGCCTTCTGATAAAACTATTGGAGGTGGCGATGATTCCTTCAACACTTTCTTCAGCGAGACTGGAGCTGGTAAACATGTTCCAAGGGCTGTATTTGTTGATCTTGAACCAACAGTTGTAGATGAAGTCCGAACTGGTACTTCTTCCATCCTGAACAACTCATCACTGGTAAAGAAGATGCTGCTAATAACTACGCTCGAGGTCACTACACAGTGGGCAAAGAGATCATTGACTTGGTTCTTGACAGAACGAGGAAGCTGGCTGATCAATGTACTGGTCTTCAAGGATTTCTCATCTTCCATAGCTTTGGTGGAGGAACCGGATCTGGTTTCTCTTCCTTGTTGATGGAAAGACTGAGCGTCGATTACGGCAAAAAATCCAAGCTGGAGTTTGCTGTTTATCCTGCTCCACAAGTATCAACTGCTGTAGTAGAACCATACAACTCCATCCTTACAACCCATACCACACTAGAACATTCTGATTGTGCCTTCATGGTGGATAACGAGGCTATCTACGACATCTGCCGACGAAATCTTGATATTGAAAGACCAACCTACACCAACTTGAACCGGTTGATTGGACAAATCGTTAGCTCCATCACTGCTTCACTTCGATTTGATGGTGCTTTGAACGTCGATCTTACTGAGTTCCAGACCAACTTGGTACCATACCCACGTATCCATTTCCCATTGGCTACTTATGCTCCAGTCATATCTGCTGAGAAAGCCTACCATGAACAACTTTCTGTAGCTGAAATCACCAATGCTTGTTTCGAGCCAGCCAATCAGATGGTTAAATGTGATCCTCGTCATGGTAAATACATGGCTTGCTGTATGTTGTACCGAGGTGATGTTGTTCCCAAGGATGTCAACGCTGCTATTGCAACCATTAAAACCAAGAGAACCATCCAATTTGTTGACTGGTGTCCAACTGGTTTCAAAGTCGGTATCAACTACCAACCACCAACTGTTGTACCAGGAGGTGATTTAGCCAAGGTCCAGAGAGCTGTTTGTATGTTGAGTAACACGACTGCTATTGCTGAAGCTTGGGCTCGTCTTGATCATAAATTTGATCTGATGTATGCCAAGAGAGCTTTCGTCCATTGGTATGTTGGTGAAGGTATGGAAGAAGGTGAATTCTCTGAAGCTAGAGAAGACTTAGCTGCTCTAGAGAAAGATTATGAAGAAGTTGGAGTTGATTCTGTTGAAGGTGAAGGAGAAGAAGAGGGAGAAGAATATTAAACTCACAGTAAATTAAATTATTTCTGAATAAATAATTCAAATCTAAGAATAACATAGTGTTTTTTATTTATTTTTCCTCCATTTTAACCTTAAATTCAGAATTCCAACGACATTTGGGCCAGGTTCTCAATTATTTTCACTTATTTATTTTGGTTGCGGATTTTTGGTTGAATTGTACGAGGCGGAATTATCTATATAGTACAAAATTGGAAAGCTTCTGTATTAATTCTCGACCCGGAGACAAAATTCCTGACAACCCATATGGTGTTTATTTCTGTAATTTACCTTGGCATCGATAATCCTGTATCGTACGTCGCATATTGCAGTTTAACTAAACAACATTGTTACTTCACATTGTGCTACTTTTCGGCCCCTTACTGGATAATAAGGACATTACAATGAGTGTATTTGTGTTTTTTTTAATACATTTTTGTCCCAAAATAGGTGTAAGAAGGCACCAAATGAATTCAATTTTCTGAAAGTTCTCTTGGAAGAACTCTCTCAGACTTTCAGTGAGAGGCTTGCGACTATGAAATCTCCACAGAGTTGCCGCATTCTGAAATCAGCCTGGATTGAAATGTTGGCAGGACAGCAGCATTATCCTACTATTTTTTCGATTTTCTACTAACACATAGACTCTTGCACACGGAGCTTCTGTTTATTGTCCCATCCGAACGACTGGATACTTTCCTCCCTGAATAGGATTGACTTTTAACTTTATAACTTGGGTTTCTTCGTAACATACCGGAGTTTCCATCAGAAAATATGCCAAATCAGAATAGTGGTTTTTAAATACTATTTCCTACATGGGAACGAAAGCAGTATGATTTAAATCATTGAATAGAGATAACTAAAAGTAACTCCTGTAGTGTACATTCCTCCTGAAAGCCGTTTCTAATAAAATCAGAGAACTTAATAACTTTTGTACGGTTTTATTAAATAAATATAAAAACATGAAAATATATATATTTACAACTAACAACATTTGTTTAACAAGGTCAGAACATCCAGAAAGTGTTGGTGATATGTGATTATATATCCTACAACTTTTGCCACATTCTAACACCTTTTCACAAAACATCTAACATGAAAAATTTGTCAAAAAATGTGTATTTTCATAATGAGAGACAACATTTATGACAAAAATTTACCGTTAGAAGCTTTGATACAGACTTGTTCCATTCATTACTGAGGTCACATCAAACTGTCAAAGATCTATATCAAAGACTAGACAGTGTCTTACTCAAACAGCTTATTCAATTAAAAATAATATATTAGATGTTAAAAGAGGAAACTATCCCTTAGAATGGACATAAAATTTAAAGTCTCAAACTTGGTTAATAAGTGTATATATTCATCAGTTGAACTTACCAGGAGCCATTGCCCATGACCAAAGAATAGAATCTCTATATATGACATATATTAACTAAACTAATCAATTATTAACACTTCTAAGCAAGTCTCAAAATTACTTTAATGAATTATTACTTAGTTTTAAGGATTTATTTGATTATAGAGGGATTCTGTCTTATAGTTTTGACACCAGGTAAATCTAGTGATGGTCGAAGACTCATTTTAACCAAGTTTTAAAATTAAAATTTTTATAATCATATCCAGAAATGCCTCTTCACTAAACTAATTGAAACAAATCATGATTGAAAAATGTAACCAATATTTGCTGAATGAAATTTGCAAAAGTACTGAACATCTTAACTAAATTGCTAGGTCAAAGTTCATTATTATCTAAAATTAGGCACATAAATATCCACTCTGCAACTCTTCCCATTCTTGGTGAATACAATGGTTAAAGTAATGAATACCTAAGCTTACTTCAAGGTTAAAGTTCATTGATATAAACTGTCTCGTATTGAACGTTAATATTTAAAACTAGTCTAAACTAGTTTAAAACATCTCTCATCTGACTCGTCTAATAGGTTTAGCTAGAACAGGTATCATCATCTGTTGTGTTAGATATAAAACACCACCAATTATAATAAACAATGACACGACCGCTATTAAACCAAATCTATAGATAATAGAATAGTCGTAAATCTGAAAAATACAAAACAGAATGAAAAACTCATTTAACATAACATACAGATCATAGAGATAAGGGAAATAACTCAAATTAACCATGATTTTAGACTACTATTAAACCAAAGCCATAAATTTGAATCAAACAAATTTAAATGATAAAAGTGTGATATTTAAATACTCTGCTCATTAGCGTTAACCATCTCTTAAAATACAGACAGTAACTGTAACTTATTAGGGTTTCATCTGAATACAGATAAAATGTCATACAAGGGAAGTAACCCAATCTTATTGTCCTTGCACATTTGCACAATATCACCCAATTAAAATCCAGATGAAAATGAAATGGAGTTTAACGTTATTTTTTCTATTTGATCAAGCTTCTTCAATGAAGACTGAACATTGCAATGCAATATGTGTATAATCAGTGAAAGTTATGTAAATATTACACTTACCTTTATTGAATCATCTGGTGTAGATATTTCTGGCTCTCGTGGAATAAATATTAAAATAATTGTTACCAGACCAGCTACAATAATTGCTAGTGGACCTAAATGTCTGAAAATAGATAAGATATTCAATGTTATTATAGTAAGGCAATGGAGGCAACTTGTAAGGCTTTATTATACACACCATCTTCTCAATGGCCAAAATATAGACAAAATGTTAAAATACCTTGACTTCAATAGCCACTTTTCTTGTATCACCTAATAAACCGATTAAATTGGATTTTATGCCAGTGAATACAAATTACCAGAGTCCTAGTATGCTATAGACAGACTAATGGCTTGACATTGTGGAGATATAGGCCTCTAAACACAGACCAAACTTTGGTATTCATACTAACTGAGGATGAAATAGTCCAGATTTCTGAAACTTCAAACTTCAGTAGGGACACAGACTGCAATATTCCTGTTATATATCTGAAGATCATTACTTTTCAAACTTCGGTTGACATCATAAACATGTGAAAAGAAAAATAATAAATGGGCAATTCATCATAATACTTACGAAAGTGCCCCTTGTGCTCGACTAAAAACTAAACAGAGTAACAGACATAACACCCACAAAAATGCTAAGATAAATAAACCTTCTCCAATACCCAGTACCCTCGCCATATTGACTTCAGAGTTAAAATTTTCGGAAAATTGACTTTTTGGACAAGTCAAGACATCATCTTGTTGATGACAACAAATATGGCGGGGATTTTGACCTACTTCTAGAATATTTTCTTTTGGTTGGCTATTGAAAATCTCCTAAAACCAATCAGATACATCTATAGTCTAGATTGATAGGAGAAAGGAAGTCACATTAGTCTGGATTGTCAAGCCATTTTTGGAAACATACCAAAGCGTCCATGCGTCAAATTGCCCATTTCGAACGTCTCAATGCGTCAATTTGTATACATAAATATGGGGAAAACTCAAAAAGCGTAAATAGTCAAAAGATTATCTCACAAATAATTCTCTTCTCTCTCTACCTTTTAGAATTTAGAAACATTAGATGTATTTTTCAACGCCCTGTCATTTTTTTAAAAGTTAACATAGATATTCTTTATTTCTCGAAAGTGATGCAGGGTTGACAAGCTCAGGCACAGTGTAGCATCAAGTATTTTAATGGGATAGGCATGTTGTGCCTCGCACACGCCTTGCATTGGCTAAACTATATAAACTTTAATGATATCGAAAAGCTTTTTGTTTTACATGGGTCAGAATAAGGTCCAATACATCAACGTGACTTTGTCCTGTGTAACATTTAAAGGGCAAAATGTGCAATTTTAAGGGATTGATTTAGTCTAAAATGTATGTAAATAGTTTGCAGAAGTACTAGAAATGTACGAATCCCTCAAGAAATACTTTAAACTAGGAATTTTATTTAATATTCCTATATATGTCTTTTCTATATATCACAGAGTATCTTAAATTCACGAGTCGTAATTTTAACATTCAAACGCAGATATTTCTGGACACATATAGATTTGAAGGCTCAAATTTTGACGGTTAGCTGTGAACACTATTATTGATTAGCCCAGCTAAAAAATTCCAGTTTTGGAGACTAAAGTATGATTGGTCAAAAATGGCCTTTCTATCCCTTTGTACATTTTCAATGAGTGATTTCAATAATTTGACAGCCTGAATTAAAAAATGTTATATGAAAAATATTGTCAATCTGATTATTCTTATCTATATTGGATTTATCTAGCCTTTTTATTTTCTGTTTTTTGTGCTACACACAAAATGAGGTCTCGTTATATTCTTGTGTTACTTGTATTGTGTCTATTGAACCAAACATACGGTAAAGACTTACAAAGTGTACCTCTGTTTCAAAGAGTCGGGGCTTTGAAGGTGCAAATCGAACAGTGTGAACCACGTATCGTCTAGCTGAAAAATATAACTGTGATGAGATGCCATATGTTTGAGTCACATATTGTCAAATCTTACTTCAGATTTTTTCACAATTTATTTTAAAAGTAGTGTTCAAATGGGATTAAATTATTTTATATGGTATGTTAAAGCCAAAAAAAAAAAATGAAAAATGCATTTTGGTACTTAGGGGCACAAATTTTGACGAAATTATAGAAAATTTGAATTGATTATTTTTTATTCAAAAAGCAATTTTAGTAATTCATCCCTAAAAAATAAGACCAGAAACCATATAATGCATCCGACGTTGATTTCGTTTTATCGAATAACTTGATTTCAGGAGGGACCATCGACCTAACGCGCTGCCCAATCAACCTCCAAAGAGACGAATATCTAAAGATATATCAAGACCAATGTCTACAGTTTAAAATCAATGATAAAAACCATCATACTCAAGCCAGTGACTATTGTCGCAATACAGGAGGACAGCTGCTCACAGTTAAAGACCAGTTTAAAGAAGCTTTTGTAGTCGGAGCTCTAAGCTCTTATAATTTCTATGGTAATGTATGGCTGGGATTGAGTGACGCAGTGAAAGAAGGCGAATACAGATGGGTGACGGGTTGGTAACATTTACTGACAGTTATATTATCAATCGGTTGGGATTGGAAATTACTTGGAGCTTTCGAGGAGTTCAAACAGCCCCGTCGTTAGGGTGGGGTTCGTGGGGGCTGGGCCCCAGCAAGTGAGTATTAAGTCCCAGCAAAAACTTCAGTTCAGCAGAGATTGATTCATATACAGTATATTTGTACAAAATCAAAAAGATATAGATTTTGATACGTTTTAAGCGCCTCAAAATTGTCAGAAATAAGTTCCCTTGGCCTTTAACGCTTCAAATTTTCTGAGTACAAAATCTGAGCCCCAGCACCAATTTATTCCTGGAGACGGCAAATGATTTATAGGACAACATTTTGACAAATCTACTTTTGATTCAAGTTGGCTCTTCAATAGGCTATCTTGGTCAATCTAAAACGGTTGTCGTACGAAATCGTGTGTTCTCAGATTACATGGTACATTGCTTGTCCAAATAAACAGTTGTACAGCTTCCAAATCTATACGAAACTACGTATGGTTCTTAGATGAAATAACAGGCGAACGTAATTCACAACAATTTTTAATCTTTTCCACGAATTAGTACCGGTATGTCGACCAAATCTTTATATTTTTGGAACACATCCAATGTTGTTTTTTCCAGGTGAGGTGTCCAGCTACTTTCACTGGGCGCTTGGACAACCAACACCGATCCTGTCGGCCGTGGAGGATTGTGTGCTTTTGAAGATGCCCGGGGGTCAGTGGTACGACCAGGGTTGTGACCTACCTCTCGATAATTTCCCCTGGATTTGTGAATATCGTAAGTTAAAAAAATGTATATAGTATTCAGACGAATTTTGTTCACGAGGAGAATACTTTCGAATACTGTCTGAAATTGTAACACTGTCGTAGCTCGGAATCCATTTCACACATCATGACGCTCCACAACTCAACTAAGTCTTCCAATTTATCTATAGTTATAGAAACTTCTTTTAAAGATGGGTTCCCTTATTTTTGTTTATGAAAATAGAAATGCTAATACTTATATCAATAGAAAGTAGAGGTGTTCTGATGACTTGGAAAAATACCAGTTTGTCTCCCATGTCAATAATTAATTCATAATTAGCTATTTTACCAGCAGAATTCCAATGAGTGACCGATCAAGAAAGGTCAAAAAGTATTTTATTGTTTATCCAGACATTTATGCTTGATTAAAACTCAATGCAATAAGAATATAATGATATGATTAAGAATACATGATAATTCATTAGGAACACCAACTAATCAAATAGTTTGTTTAATTTGACACTAAAAAATAAGGAAACCCATCTTTAATGAGCTTTTGTATATTCTTCTACAATCTTAATTTGAAAACCTTTTGTGTACAGTGTTAGGTGCTAATTATATCATGAGTTGTGTGCAACATTTGATCTGGATTTTACTGAGATTGTCAGTTAAACGCGGAAGCCTACGATATAACCGATCGGTTAACGTAAAGTGTGAAGACCCGACAACAATGCAACGTTTTTATCCAAGCCTTGCTAAAGCTGACCAAGTAGCTTTGACCATTCCAGTGGCCGTGACAAGCAATAAACGTGTTGATGTGAAAATAATTATATTAACTTTTTAAGAATTACGCTAAAACGATGGATTTCGTATGCACGTATGCATATATAACTTAGTGCTAGTTTTTTATTATCTATAAAGAAAATAGTTACGGTACGTCCCTGATCATGTTATATATTTTGATTAAGCTTTACGAGAACTACCAACCACTCAAACTAAAACGCAATCTACAAGGCAGTCGACAACGACACAAACAACAACTAAAGCAACAGTCAAACCAACTACCAAACCAACAACCAAACCAACTACCAAACCAACAACCAAACCAACAACCAAACCAACAACCAAACCAACTACCAATGCCACTAAGCAACCAATTGCCAAGTCGACGACGTCGATTGCAACATCTGGAGAAACGGACACTTGGAGTATGTCTTTATATTGATAACGACGATGCGTTGCGTTGGGTGCTGCAAACGCTTACAGCATTGTTTATACAGTCGGATCTTCGATTTAAGTAATTTTGGCGGAATGCTGAAATGTTCCTAAAAGCGTTACCACTAATTGTGTATAATATTATACGTTTCAGGGACGTATCGTAGACCACATTGAATTTACGAAGGGGTCGGCGTCTTCGGCTACTTTATCAGCCTCTCTGCTACCTGTCTTCATCCTAATATGCGCTCCCGAAGACCCGTAGTGTTACCTAAGCTTTTTAAGCCAGGCTAAAGAACGGAGTAATTGTCTCATCATTTGGGTTGTTTCTGGTCATTTTTAGTGTCTTATCGTTATTTCAGCTACCGAGACTGTCAAGATTATTGGATAATGGTTGCTATTGATTCAGGAAATAAACTGTCAACTCCAATTCGTATTTTATGTCTCCTTCTAGGTGGGAATTCTGGACTATCCATTGTTAAACATTAAACACCCCTTATAGGTGTGATGTGCAAGCTAGCGAATAAAGCCATTCAGAGAGTCGGACAGAAAGATTGTAAACATTATGGTTTAGTTTAGACTTTCTGTCGAGACCTCTGATTTGCTGTATTTGCTAGCGTACAACGCAATCAAATCCCTGTGACACAGGAAAGGGGGCTATTGCAGTCAAGATATAAGATAAAGTTGTCATGTTGAAGATGCGGGGTGGCAACATACACCACGTCAGTGTAAACAAAAATATAAAGATAAAATATCATAAGCACTCGTGGCATAAAATCCATATCCAATCATAGGCGTAGAATCAACAATTCAGCCCAAATAACCCTGCTAAATGGTGGCGTTCTGGATGGATAGCCATGAATCTTTCCGCACGGGAGTAGACTGACTGCGACCTTGGCAATAATGCAGATCTGATAGAAACCCACAAGAGATCAGGTAGCGCTTCTGAAGATCTTGGCGCTCTATTTGGCTATCTTTGGAGCTCTCACAATCGAACAGCCGCCTCGTGTAATGGGGGATTGACGTCACATGTGGGCTCCAAAGCCTCATTAACGTTTCGACCTGTGTTTTGATAAGATTGCAATAGATTAAAATATCGGAATAATGATCGACTGTTGCCTGTCAATTGTCAAGTTATTTATTTAGAATTCTATAAACCCACATCCAATCTACTTAGTAACAGCTTATAGAGATAATATCTCATGTTTCTTCTGTTTTACCCGAATTATAATTATCGTTTCTCAAACAAACAAATGGTTTTAATATAAGGAAAATTATCAAGAAATTTCTATATGATAAAAAATTCTTTTGATAAATACATTGCACTGGTATTCTAAGGGCCCTGACACACCATGGCGATTCAGTCAACAAAAGCCGGTGTAGTAATTTTTTTTAAACACGATATTGAGCTTATAAGTCGACCCAGATGTAAATGGAATCAGATAATCGGGGAAAGATCTATACCAAGAGGTTTGGCCAAGGATCTACTGGTAGAAAGGATCGTTAACTGCGAACCTAGGTTGTTATTCTTGTAAAATATAGTTGTTTCTTTCTGTTCTTTCTGTTCTTTCTTTTCCTATAAAACTTACTCATATGGGTATGCGCTGCCTAATCCTCAATGTGTAACGAGGCCATAACGTAGATAGTTGAAATACTTGTTGCATTCGGCAAGATTTTAGATCCGCCGGATTTCGAAATTCAATTTAGCGGTAGTATAAGCCAGCTTCAAAAGAGCAAGAATTAAAAAATGTCTTTTGGTATATATAGTTCAATATTTGTACACATTTTTCGTGGTTTATAGAGGGAGTAACCATTGTCTTCAAAGACTTCAATAGCTGATTTTAATAGCTTGTACGCTCGACACACATTTAGGATAAAGAAGTCACCGCAGGCCCGTCGCCAGACTTGATTGTTCGCAGGGGCAAGTAATATATCCGGAGGGGCAATGGTGTATGGTGAAATAGGACGGTTGTCAGAATTTTTCCGGAGGCAAACCATATATATATATATATATATATAAGATATACCATACGTCCAAAAAGGATCACGATTTTCTCATTGACTTCTTGAAGTCCAATAAAGCATTTATATGCAAACTTTCAGCAATCCTAGCGATGGATTTATTGTCTGAAACATGAGTTAATTTAAACATATTTTATCGATCAAAATAAGCAAAAGGAATTGTAGACAGGTTTCGAGGTCTTAGTAATGTTTCGCGGACTTAGTAATGTTAAAACGACTTAGTAATGCTTCGACGACTTAGTAATGTTTCGACGACTTAGTAATGCTTCGACGACTTAGTAATGTTTCGACGACTTAGTAATGTTTCGACTACTTAGTAAAGGAACATGTGTTCACAAGTCAAATGTTGTTTAGTTACAAGGCATCCACATTTATATGTGGGCGTAAGTGATATGTATAAATACCTATACTTGTAAAAGATTTCATTGTTATTGTCATCTACCAACCAACCAAAGATTTCATTCACAGATGTCCACTTTTTAAATAGCTCAACATAAAGTGCCTTGTTGATACACGACAGGAATCAGAATTTTTTTTAAAAAGTTGAAATGGAATATAGAATTATGCTACAAGTCACAATCTTGTTTTTCATTATTAGTATAAACAGATGTGCTGCATATAGATGCTTTAAAAAGACGCAGAAATTTTGACATGTTGCAAATATTGCAATTTACATTCACTGTGTAAAGCTGTCAACTTTAACCGTGTCAGTTTTCAGTGTCAACTAATGAGTGAAACACCAACTCCGTCCAATACGATTTTTGAATTTGACAATGTTTGAAAAAACATGGAAAATTGGAGAGAATCATATCTGGGTGCGTGTAAAAACCATAATTGTCCGAATAACACCGTATGTCGTGAATTACAAGATTCCTATAATTGTGAAGTTATCGGATGTGTTGGTTTTCCAGGTGTAAATAATATCAACTCGTCATCGTTTGAAGCTAAACCTTTGTGGGTGGTCAATGAAATGGTGGAGTATGTTTGTGAACGTGGATATTTCCCGTCAATCAACCCAGTTTGTACCGAAGATGGAACGTGGAGTCAGTTTGTCTGTTCACCGTATTTTAAATGTGGTGAAATTAGAAAATGTAATGAAAGTATGGAAGAAAAGGATTATTGGTTGTATATTCCCGCTTACCAAACTCGAGTGAAAACGTTCTGTAAATGGGGTTTTGGTGGATACGTCAGCCTTCAACATCTGAATATAGCGTCCTTCTGGAAATACAAGAGAACAGGAACAAACTGCTCAATAAGTACAATAGATGATCCAGAGAACATGGGAGCTGGAACGACAGAATTGTGTTGGTTTTCCGGGTGTTAATAATATCAACTCGTCCTCGTTTGAAGCTAATCCTTTAAGGGCGGGTCAATGAAATAGGGAGTATGTTTGTGAAAGTGGATTTTTCCTGTCTATCAACCCAGTTGTACCGAAGATGGAACGTGGGGTGAGTTTGTTTGTACACGATTTGCTCTTTGTGGTCATATAAGGAAGTGCTATAAGTTTCCCGAAGACAAAGAATATATGCTTCTGAGTTTCAAAGGTTGGTCAGGGCCTTTTGTAATATAGAACTGGTTCATTTGTCAGTCTTCTGCATCCGAACTTTGCAATCTATTCAGATACAAATATGACAGGACCAAACTGTTCAATATGTACAATAGATGACCCAGAGACCCGCGGGGCTGGAAAAACGGAATTTCAAAAAATAAAACTTGGCATACGGACCCTCTAAATCAAACCCATCTTTCTTACCTTTTCAACTGGCTTCTTAAATGCCCAATATTTTGGTTCAGCCCATAACTGTTACCTTAAAGATAATGGCTGTGGTTTTCTGGGACAATTTGTAATCGACACAACGGACGGGCTTCAGGTTTCCAGACTCTCACATCACCGGGGATTGGAAATATAACCCAGACTATGGATGGTCAAGTGATCATGGGATTCTGTGGGGGACAATGTGGTGGATACAAATCGATGAAACCGGAAATGGAACTCTTCTGGAGATAGATAAAAAAACAACATTCTGTTCGAATCAGCAGAACTACCAATTTGTCAATTTCTGTGATAGGAGGGGGCAAGAACTACATTCCAAGATTTGTTTATTGATTGTGGGTATCTCTAGTCTTGGTTATCTTGATTTATCAAATTGTATGAGTCAATAGACAACTTGCACATGAATCTAACGGGCGATTATATTTTGAATATTATAAACTCAGAACCTCGATGTGCTACATGCGTCATTATAACATTCATAATGAGTGCCATAACACACTAGAGTTTTAGATCAATCAGAAATCCTTACAATCTAATCATAATTAGATTACAATTTCGTTTCGTTATTTTTGTTTTCGGTTCCGTCGTAATCTAAAGAGATTTATACCAAAGTCTCGTACTGTTCCATCCAATCATAGCGTTTCATGCAGTATCCGTGTGGAGCGTGATTGGCTGATATATATAGCTTTTAGCGTGACCACCAGTATACGACATTGTCATAGATCTAGTTAGATTACAATGGAGACCCAAAAATAGAATAATACCAAAACGAAATTGTAATTCTGATTTTATCTAGATTGGAATCACTATCACATGTTGTTGTTAGTGACCGAAAAGTATATCCTCAACTAGTGATGAAAATAAGCTTTCAAGGGTTAGAATTTATCGTACAACTTGGTAAATCAAGATGGAGACTAATCTGTCCTGAGACATTGTGGGGACTTTCATTAAAACGGAATTTGTGACCTATCCAGTTTTGAATATTACATATTTAATGGGTTTTTTTTTTGTTAATGTTGTAAATTCCATTTTGGTTTGTCAATAGAGGGTCTGATCCTTATCTTATCCACCTTGTTAGAAATATTTTAGTTTTCCATGATTTGAAAAATATAATGTAAATTGAAATTTACATGGCACGACTCAAAGGGGGGGGGGGGGGGGTCATTTATAAGACATATTCGTAATTGATGGATTTTAATAATTTATTCAGAAATAATTACATTTAGTTTGAGTTTAATATTCTTCTCCCTCTTCTTCTCCTTCACCTTCAACAGAATCAACTCCAACTTCTTCATAATCTTTCTCTAGAGCAGCTAAATCTTCTCTAGCTTCAGAGAATTCACCTTCTTCCATACCTTCACCAACATACCAATGGACGAAAGCTCTCTTGGCATACATCAGATCAAATTTATGATCAAGGCGAGCCCAAGCTTCAGCAATAGCAGTCGTGTTACTCAACATACAAACAGCTCTCTGGACCTTGGCTAAATCACCTCCTGGTACAACAGTTGGTGGTTGGTAGTTGATGCCGACTTTGAAACCAGTTGGACACCAGTCGACAAATTGGATGGTTCTCTTGGTTTTAATGGTTGCAATAGCAGCGTTGACATCCTTGGGAACAACATCACCTCGGTACAACATACAGCAAGCCATGTATT